ACAGCTACTCAAGCGGTCCCACTCACTCCATTCAGTGGCTGTCTGCAATTTCTCCCCCAGGCAGAGGCTACCAACCCCCTCCCGCTCTTGTGATAAAGAACGGCATGCACAAGGGACGCTAACACCATCAATCCTTCTTCATTCATGACCTAAGGCTGATCTCAAACCAAGCCTCCAGGACAGAAGGTTGAAAACACCAACCCATTGCCACACTCGGAGCTGGTCTGAGAAGGCAAGCATCCTCCCAGCCTGTGTAACTTGCAAAGAAAGAATTAAAACAGTAAGATAAAATTAAGCAATGGTATAATTTACTGCTCAGAATTTACTAATATGCAACCTAGGAAGAGCACCAAAGGCTATAAACATTTCAAGACACTTCACTGTTTTAGCACTATATTAGAGAGTACTTGCCTTTTAACACTTATTTAAGAAAATAAAAAACTTCTGAGCAGTAGTTTCCTGTAAAGACATAAATTAGCATGTTCTAATCAGCCACAGTAAGTGCAGTACAAGCATCTTCATGTCAGAGCTATACAGACCAAAGCCTACATGCATTTTTACCTATGTTCAACACATTTGCGGAATGATCCAAAACTGGAAGAAGAAGGATTAACTGATGCTCTTGACATTAACGTGCAGGTCTGAGATTCAGCACATGTGGCTTCAGCTCCTTTCTCTGCCTCTGCCTGCACAACCATAGGCATATCACTTAACCTCACCATATCTCAGCTCTGTAGCTATGAACACACAGTAAAAATGCTGCTTTGGTTGCCGAGATTAATTCACATTGTGCTTAAGAGCAGGCAAACCAGTTCCATACACAGAGGGAGGCAATTTGACATTTCAGAGGAGATAAACCACACTAAAGGGCTTACATTACAAGGGTTCAACCCTGGCAGACACCAAGTACCCTCTTTTCCACTAAAACCGTCTCCTGCAGTCAGCAGCTCCCTCAGCCCTTCAGAGGCACGTTACCCTCGCCACCCAATGCCACATCAATGCAAGTTGCTTAATGAATAGTGGCAGTTCCATCCTAGGTGCAGGATGAGGGCCAAGCACTAAAGCAGACTACACCAGGTATCTGAATCCATCCCTGGAGCTGTTAAACTTGGAGGATAGCTCCTTGCAACAGGCTAAAGGAATCCTCCTGCTGAGCACTTGGAGGCCCTAGGACCGTGTGCCTAACGAGGCTGTATCCCCACTCATATTTTAGCTTGGCAGGTCTGGTGCTCCTTTCATCTTTTGCTTCAGGTAGCTCTCTTTAATTAATAACATTTCTGTGTCGACACAGGGAACTTTCCACCCAGAATGAATGGCCCTCTCTCATTAGAACCACGACTTGTCATGATGTATTCAAGAGCAGCAGTGTGATTCATTCCCTTGTCTGGGAACGAGGGGTGTTGCTGGGGGGTGGTGGGGGAGAAGAGTCTCTGTAATGAGTGACTGATATTTGCTGAAGTTGATATGCGACTCTGTCGGCTTGAACTGCCTTGTCAGGACAAGCCTTCAGAAAGGTGATGTTCCTACTCAAGAGGTTTTCCTCATTAAAGAAATTGCATCTTAACAAGAGGGAAAGGGAGGGGTGGCAGGAGAGCTGCTGTCTCCCCGACTCCAGCCTGGCTCACACACACCCAGCGCTGAAAGCCGGTGGATCCAAGCGCAGCCAGTAGAGGAGCAGTGCTCCATTTCTGAGCCCTCTAGCACAATGGGCTCTCTCCAGCAGTGACCAAATCCCTCCAACAGGGACTCTCCTGATGGTGCACCACACCCATGACAAAGCCTTTGGTGGCATGGCCGAGGACCTCGACTCATGCTGAACGTCCACGAACCCTTCCCAGATGCTTGGTGTCCTCTTCTGGGCACCCAGCTCCCCTGCTGTCAGAGCGAAGCCAGACAAACAGCTCTGTGATCTTCCAAGAAAGCTCCAATGTTCCAGAGAAACAAGTCTGTAGCCACACAGCGCCTCATTCCCTGAAGATCCCCGAGCCAAGCAGAGGTTTCACAGGTCCTTTAGCAGCTGAGTTTCCATCTTGAATCCTGCAGACTCAGATACCGCTAGACACCATCAGCAGAGAGCAGTACCTTGACAATCACTATTCCTCTGGTGTTTTTCTTTGAGCTAGGAGTGCTATACATATTGTAACTCCTGGCTTCGACAGGGCTATTTCCCCACCTTGTCCCCACATCCACCATTTACAGGCTTGTAGAGTCTTCCTCTTTGTTCCAGCCACTCCCCCCATCCAGTTTGCTCACCCCACTGTGCCTCCCAGTGCCCTGGCACCTACCAGTGGCACCCACTGGAAGCACTCACAGTAGACAGCCCTGTCCAGAAGATACCATGTCTTAGCTCTTCAACAGCACAGGCAGATAGAAGCCAAACTAAATGCGCAGGTCATTGCTGGAGAAGCCAGGAACAAGGCTGCATGGTTTCCCACCAAGAGCTGAGCTAAGGACAATGGAGGACAGGAACTCCAAACCTCACAAGACACTGGGTAAGAGGACTGCAGCTTGCTTCGCAGGCAGCTCTGCAGGCAGCTGTCACTACCAAGCAAGCAGGAGCAGCAGAGTTAGGAATGGACCTGCCCCAAGTTGCCGCTGCCTAAGCCAGGAAGCACTGCACTCACCTCATTGTCCTGAATTCCTCTGGAACCTAGTGGGGTTTCTACCACGCAAAGCTTCCATCAACACACTCCTCCAAATGTGGACAAGCAGCACTGCCTCCCCTCCCACTGCCCCAGTGCCTTCTGTGTCCCATGTGTGGTCTTGACACAGTCGCAAAGGGCACCAGCTACACCGCAAGTCTTGAAGGGAAGCACCAGGTGATCCCCTGGAATACTCCTAGATGTTCCACATCTCTCAGGCTCTATCTCCCTGTCTGAGCGGCCTTGTTTCAGCTCTCTGCCTTCCCTCTTTAAAAAGAGATGCTCAGTTCTGCTTTGCTAAACCCTATTTGGCAATGTGTCTAAACACAGGCAAACTTAATTAGTTCAGGAGGGAGACTCAGCATTTGTGGTGACGGATAAAAGTAATGGGAAATGAGACAAGTCAGGGCTGGCAGGGAGTCCTCACTCAAGCCTCATTCACCGGCACGGCGCTAATCAGATGTGACGCTCCATGCTGCGGCACCCAATCGGCGATGGAGTGGCGTGATGTGCTACTCACCAAGCGGCTGCAGCCAGACTCCCACTATCCATGTGGCTGGAAACACAAAATATATTTTCTGCTTTGCCCTGGAGACGCTTCAGGATTGAATTCTGAAGTTAATGGTTTAAAAAAAATTTTTAAAAGGAAGAGGGAGAAATGAACCACTCGCTGCAACCTCATAGCCAGGAGTGGAGTCTTCTTTTCCAGCTGACTAGTGAGGCACAATCCATGCGAGAGACCACTGCAAATGGCGAATTGAGTATCTCTGCTCCAGAACTGCATGTCCTGCTGAGTGAGCTCACCCCACAACCTCTACGGCTCACCAGAAATGTGGCTCATCTTTACCTCTATTTTCCCACTATAGAGCTCTGAAGCAAAAAAACCCCAACATCCAGAAGGCTGCCCACTCCATACAGACACCAAGTTAGGATGTCATTATCTGGGAACCTTGTCATCCCACTGTGAAAGTGATAGAAAGATGGGCTTTGAGCAAAGATAACTCTGTTCCTCACAGCCATCATGAGAAGTGGTAAACTGGACTCTCAGAACAGCAATACAGGAGTAAAGAACTGAAAAAAGAGAACGGATGAGAAACAGAAGTTTAGCACATCCCTGCACCTGTCTTTGTGCTGGTCTCTAATAAAAGTTTAAACATAATATATGAAATAAAATAAGCCTCACTTCTAATTTAAACCAGTAACACAGGAACTGGCAATATATATCAGCTCTGGACACTGCCCCAGCAGAGACCCAGATATTGACTCAAAAGCTTGCATACCACACTTCTGTCTGGAGCACGGCAAATTTCTCATCTCCACTAGTGCCTGTGCTGCTGTTTCGGTCCTCGTATCTCATGTGTCACTAATCATACCAAGAAGAGGCAAGGAACTGCCACTCTACAAAGACCACTCTGCAGGGAAGAACTGGTGTTGATTGCTCCCAGGCTGTATGCAGTTTATTTAGGCTTCCAACTTGAGGAAATCAACGTCACAGTGAAAACCAAGTAACACTACTAACGAGTTGTGCATGTCAGTTTAGCATTGGACGTGTCAAGCCCATGCTTTACCAGTGTGATAACAACAGGAGTCTTTATCCAGCACTCTGAGGAAATGAAAAGCTGAAGCGAGATTATAGGAATCCAAGTGAATTCAGCAGAATATGACACTGATCTGCAAATACCTTACAGATTACACTAATCTAATTCTTAGACATTTAACTCAGTTTTTTGAATAACATTTTTAGGTTGGTAGTCTAGCTATTTTCATAACAAAACACACACATACACTGACACTTGCAGATCCCAGTGCAGGTCCCCACCTGGTACTCTCCAGATCATCTGCTGGGTGACTGTAAGATGACCTTAACAATAAGAACACTGATGAAGCATGCCAGACTTGGCTTGTATTCTCCTTCCAAAGACTACTCTGTGATTCACATCCAGTTACTGTACCAAGATGACAGAAAGTCTTGCACGTGGAAGTCAACTAAGGACCACTGCTCGATTTGGGTGTACAGAAACAAGAGTTCCATGTATGTGCTCAGAAATATCCATCCCTTTGGAAAGTATATTGGATAAAAGGGAAAACATCACAAAGCTCCAGTTTAAACCTTTCTTGGGGTTCTGAAAGGATTCATTTGCTATAGGGAATATCCTACACAGTGATCTTCCACTATGCCCAGCACCCATCTGTCTTCTTAAACAAGCCTCCACTCCAAATTACTCATGGCAAACAGCGATTTCCCTAAGAAACAAAGACTAGGGACAGTTGGAGGCTTGTAAGGACAAAGACATATGCACTACAGGCAAGCATGGAGCAATGAAGCCCAGAAAAATCTCCCTCCCCTTCCATACTCACATCACTTTCAAATCCCAGTCTCCACAGGTCACAAAAATCGACTTGACGCTGGGATCTAAGAGGCCTTCCTTCGCCATCCACTCGTCAACCCTCTGAAAGGAAGGCAAGAAAAGGGGATGAGTTTTGCAGAGACAGGCCGAGCCACAACAGTTAAACTCAGATAAGCTGCTTGCAATCAAGAGAGAAGAAAATTGTGATCTTATCCACCCTCTCCCTCTCTCTCTTCTCTCTTTGCTTGCCATCTCAACAACAGCACGTTTGGACCTTTGAAGATTTCTGATAGGAGACATCAGGCAACCAGAGCAGAGACGATCTTATCAGACACTGCAGCAGCTCTGCTTGTGGAGGGATGGAAGTTGTGCAGCGTTAACGGGACAATACAACTGCACTGTTACCTGGCATTCCTCCTCCACTTTTCCTCTCCCTGTACCAAATGGGCTCACAGTGAGCATAACTTGTGTTCCCTCCAGTGAGGAGAAAACATGGGCGTCCTGGGATGCTACCCCTCACCTACAGCATTTCTCACATGCTCCAATTCATATGCCTCCAATGGGATATGGGAGAGGGGGAGAAATGGAAAGGCTGGGCACACACAGGCACTGTGCAGCAGTAAGAAACAAAGCTACATGTCCCCTTCCTCTCCAGGCTGGGTCTCTCTTTCCTCCTTACAGTTCTGAGGTGGTGCTTGTGCAGGGTACAGTGTGGATTTAAAGTGAATCCACTGTTCCTGATCAACTTCCCATAGGGACAGATGTTCTGGATCCACTTCAGAATGGGCCACGTTAATCTGGAGGATGCACGTCCACCTCAGGGATTAACCTAGACTAAAACCGCTGCATAGACACTTACTCCAGCTAGAACCAGCAAATGTCATACCCAAAATCTTCCAGTGGCAGGTGACAGGCAATCCGCTGCTATTATGCAGCCTCACTAGCAGCATTTCTAGTGCTTCAGCAAGAGAAATCCCTCCTCTTTTCCCTTGCTCAACACCTTCTGCTCCTGAATAAACTAGCACGCCCCAGAAGCTGCCTGACCTGAATCTCATTTTAACCTAGAAACATGCAGCTGTATGAACACCTTTTCAGCCACAAAAAAAAATAATCTACAGAAATGTTTCCACACTCATAAGAAGCTCCCATAGAAATAGAATGAACCATTTTCTATAATAGTCCAGCAGCTATGTACATTCACCCATCCAGGCAAAGAGGGCTCTCCCTCCTGGGGAAGCAGGCACAGGCATTTGTATGCTTATGGACGTGCACCGCTGCTACGTGCTCTCTGGAGAACACTGGGGAGAGTTGGGTTTGCATGGATGCAAGACGTCACCTTCACAGAGCACTGTCTTCAGCCTCGTGTCACTGCCGCAGCCTTTCCGGCAGACGACGGCGCTTCTTTCTGCGAGTTATTGTACAACAGCCCTCTGGAGTAAAGCTGCCCTCAAAGCAGCATCCAGACTCTCAGCCACACTTCTGCCTCCCTTGGGCTGCCAGGATCTTCCAGCCTGCCCTGCATGAGGCTCCCCAGAGCGAGGGACAGCAGCGGTAACCTTTCTACACTCCCTGATGTGAGCCCCATGAAGTGCTGTCTCCATGGAGGATTTTAAAGCCTTTAATTTGATTTCCTCAGATAAGCAATTGTTGCAATTATTCTGATTAGGAACAATTAGGTAACACAGCAGTGGAAATCCTGACAGAAACAATGCATCGAACACCAACCTGCAGCCCAAGCGGGCTCTGCTTGAGGAGGTTTCCTTCAGTATTTGACTACCAACAAAAGCTATTGATGGAGAAATACTTCCAAGCTAATTAAGCCCTAAATGCTGTAGGAATTCAACATTAAGCAGATGGCATTATTAGGGCTATATCTGCATTCACACATCCTCCAGATTAGATTTAGAGGCATTTTCTTTCTATACTACATGTACTATTGAGCATTTAAATAGGTAGAAAAAATTAATATAATAAAGTGCTAAGGGAGGGGAAAGAAAATGAAGGAAGAAGCTCCCGGAGCGGTGGTCTCAAGCAATGTCTTGGTGCTTTAAAACTGGCTCAAGCAAGAATCGCCTCTTATCCTATCTACTGGCAGGAGTTTGGATATCTTGTCAGCACCCTTGACATGAACAGCTGGAGATGACAGATCAATGGTTCAATACTCTCAGCAGCATGTCACCAATGTGACAGCAAATGTTATTCTAATGAAGCTGTAATCATAGTCAAATTACGCGGTTCGATTCTCAGCAAGGGGAGGGTGCAGGGAAAGAGATGAAGAGGGGACGACAGGACCAGAGGTCAGAGTTCGGGAACTAAAGGTTACTCTGCTTACCTCAAGCACTTGCTGGAGGCTTGGCTGCCCATCCACCATGCCTTGAATAATCCCAGTCAGCTGAAACGAGAGACAAACAGAAAGCACGCATCAGAGCAGCACTCAAAAGATCATTAGAGAGGTCTCCTCTCCTGTCCATCTCGCTGCAACCAAAACATGCTCCTATGACCCACATGGACATTGCTGAGAAGCCATCCACAGCAGAGTGACCCTGGCAGCTCCCCAGCCATGGGCAAGGGCACGGCTTCATCCCAAACAGAAATGTAGGTGGGCTCCTACCCACACCACAAAACAGCAAACTCTCAGCAGGGCAGGATCTACCTGGGGAGCAGTGGTGCCCTCTGCTTCATGTACTGGCATGATGCCCAAAATGCTACCCTTTTTCAAAATGCATTTTACCAGTTTTGATGTTGCACAGGCAGCAGTAACTACCGGAGTCTCTGGTCATCCCCCTGCTATTGCGGTGACTCCAAAGTTGCATGGTGTTAGATTAACAGAATAGACCACTATTGGTAAGCGAGACCCAGAGTGGACACAGTCAACCTCCTCTGCGCTGGGCAGGCAGCATGCACGCTTTCCCATAGTCCATCACAGCATCTCTCTGCATTTCAAAATTGTATTTAAAACAACTGAATGAAATCTGAAGAAAACCACTTTCTTCCAGCACCCTGGTCTACTCTGTTTTCCAGGAGGTTCCTTAGGAGCAGGTCCTGCCAACAGATAGTCCTACTGAACTGCTTGGCTGTTTAAAGCTAGACACATGCATAAAAAGATGCAGTCTCATGGGCCTCTGCCTGTGTCTGCCCAGGATAGCTTGAGGCACATGGAAAATAGATAATTTTTCTGTCTGTCTTCCAACTGACAAAACTGTCTTTTAACATATTGAATATCGGAGGTCAGTAGCTTGCCATCAATGCACCCAAGTAATTAAAAAAATCATTATTAAAACAAGTGCACACTACAGGATTTCACTTCATGTGGCACTTTCCTGAAGCTACACATCTCGCACGTTTTCATAAAATAAAGGTCAAACACAGCCTAGGAGCATGCCCTGCTGCCTGCACACACATCCAAGCCTCCAGAAGCCATAGCGTCCAGTCAAGACGTGCTGACAGCCCCACCACCACCCAGGAGTAACTCTTCCACGCAGACCAGCTCAGCCTACTTGTAAAACATAAGCCCTCTCACAAACCACGGGGCTCTGCTTTATTAAATGTGTGGCAACTGAAATAAGCTCAATGGTTTCTACCTCTCTGTTTCTTTGGCTGCTGGCTTACAGCACTGAACTCAGAGGAAGGAAAAAAAAAAAAAAAGAGATTAAACTCCAATTAAACTGTAATTACATTTAATGAATACCAAATACCTGACTCACTGAATAAGCTGTAAGTAGAAAGATTATTTTCTCATAGTGACTTCCATGGAATGGTAATATATACCTTTTAGGGGAAGTATTTTAATTTTAAGAATGCCGGGTTCCTCTAGGTGGGTTTCTCAAGTTCATCAAGCCGTTATGAGGTGGAATTTTAAGGAAGTGGAGGGACACAAACACTCCTTTATATTCCAGAAACTGTTTTTATATTAATCTGTATTTTAGTTGGGTAACAACTGCTACCTACAGACTTCCCATGCTCTGAGAGACAAACAGATTTGAGAGATTAACGCATGGCTTTTTAGAGCAGTTTTTAAAGCTCACTGGCTTGGTTTTTTGCTTTTCTTGCCATCTTTCTCTCCATGCATTTGCCTGGCAGAGGTGGACAGCTCACCTACTGCAAAGTGTTGGCTCTACCTCTCAGAGGGCAGCTCAGATCAAACCTCTGGAAGTGTGTGAAGATGAGCTTTTGGGAAAGGATCATAGAATAGCTTGGGTTGGAAGGGACCTTTAAAGGTCATCCAGTCCAACCCCCCCTGCAATGAGCAGGGACATCTTCAACTAGATCAAGTTGCTCAGAGCTCTGTCCAACCTGACCCTGAATGTTCCCAGGGATTGGGTATCTACCACCTCTGCGGGCAACCTGTTCCAGTGTTTCACTATGTTCGTCATAAAAAATTTCTTCCTTATGTTTAGTCTGAATCTACCCTCTTTCAGTCTAAAACCATTATCCCTTGTCCTGTCACAACAGGCCCTACTATAAAGTCTGTCCCCATCTTTCTTATAAGCCCCTTTTAAGTACTGAAACGCTGCAGTAAGGTCTCCCTGGAGCCTTCTCTTCTCCAGGCTGCACAACCCCAACTCTCAGCCTTTCTTCACAGGAGACGTGTTCCATCCCTCTGATCATTTTTGTGGCCCTCCTCTGGACCCGCTCCAACAGGTCCGTGTCTTTCCTGTACTAAGGATGACAGGCAACCTTTCAGTATCACAGCCGGCACTGATGTAAATGGCTTCTACCCCTCCAGGCACCTTCAGGACTGCATCTCTTCAGTGCCGCATCCCTGATGGCCATGGGAGGACAGGGTGAAATGGCCGCATCCAGACATTTCCCATCAGGAGGAGTGAGGGACAGGAAGGTGGACACAGAGGTCCCGCCAAAGAGTCACTGCTTGATCTTGCCCAAGACTCCTTCCCTCCTTCCTTGCCAGGCCAAGCAAAGTACCAACTTATCCACACAAGAACACATCGCCAAGCACACATGGACACAAGATTCATGCTGCAGAAATCGCACTCACAAATACAAAGGGATATACCTGCTCCGTGGGTACATTTCAATACAGGTCAGAGAGTGCTCAAAAGGGACCAGATTTCTACTCTCTCACCCCTTCTGATCCTTTCTTATCAGTTATGTCCATCTGTAACACCCAACCTAGTGCATTGGGTCTCTGCAGCATTATCTGGTCTTGCACCTTTGATAAAGTATAAAGACATAAAACTGCACAATTGTAAAGTTTCACTGGCGATCCCAAGAAGCACATGGTACTTGGGAACATAAACAAGCTATAAGACATTTATTTTTTTGTACTTTTATTGTCTGTTCCTTCAGGAAAAAAAAAAATCAATAAAAATTAATCATAAAAAGAGAGCAAAGCACCATGAAAAAACCTGTACAAGCACCTTTTGTGTAGAGGAAACCTTTCACTTAAGCTCCTGGCATGGACTGTCTTGGGCATCAGACAAACCACTTGCATCTTCCAAAAAGGCATGATGAGCTTTAACTACTTCCAAGCACTTTCCACCTTCTCTGTCTAAACGTTCAGCACATCCCTCATCATCACCAAGCCTTGTGACCTGTTGTTTTACAGAAGCAGGTCAAGAGAAAGGGGACCAGAGGAGGGCTACAAGAGTGAGCCAGCACTGGAAGACATGCTTCTGGCCATTGGTGTGGGGAGTCAGAAGAACCTCCTGTAGCCAGGGGAGAGCACAGACACACCAAAAGCTATGCAAAGGGATGCCTTGAGGTTGACCACAAGCTCTCCACCCTTGCAGGCACCCTTCCCATGCTGTGCTGTCTTCCTTCTTGAAGAAGAGGGATGTGAGAGGTACTCCAGACCCAAGGAGTAACATGGAGCAACCCCAGTAATCCTCCCACACGGTCTATACCAAGCAGTCCTATTGCTTCCCAGCAAAGGCAGCAAGTGGAGGGGAGAGGGAAAAGCAGCAGCACAGCAGACAGGCTCCCGTGTAATGCCAACACCACTGCTTTTCCTACAGAGTTTATCTGGGAAACCATCGTATTTCTACTCCAAGACAGTTTGCTGATTACCTAAGCACTTGTCTCTGGTGTACAATCTGATAATCAGGCCCGGTCTTTCTTTGTAGACAAAGAGGCCAATAAATCTCACCCTTTGTAAGTAGAGGTGCCTAGACAAAGCCCTTTACTGGCATTTAGCAAAATGGGTATTTTTCAGAAAACATAAACCAGCTGAAAGTCAATGGCAAGCATTGGAGCTGTGCAGGCAGCAGCTTTGCAGGAGCTGGACACACAGCACGTCCCAGCTCTGTCCCCGGGGGTCTCAGGGGAACCTACACTTGCAGCACAGGGCTGACCCCTGCACCTGCCTAGCAGGAGCCACTGACCCCACAGGTCTCTACGCAGCCACTACAGACTCCACAAAAAAGTGGCTGCAAATATGAAAGAACATTTTTGCAATTGTTTAGTAAGGTCCTCAGTACGACCAGCTCACCTGTGGCTCTGAAGGCAGGGTTTCAAAGTCAGCCCCAGATACGGGGCCCAGGGACAAGCCCAGTTACCCCTCCAGCACAATCCCACTCCCTGGACCTCATGGCAGCCCCTGCAACAGGCAGGGGGACCGCCAAGCCAGGAGGGACAGGGGCCATGCTGTGAACCGAGCAGCACAGGCGCAGCGGGAGGTTGCCCAGGAGCTGGTGGCTTCCAGGCTAGGGTTAAAACCAGCTCCCAACTCAGGACACAAGACACCAGACCGAGGTCAGCAGCAGAGCCTGCAGCACAACACCGCAGCTGAGACACTCATGCCCATCCTGGGGACTCCTGCAAACGTGCAGGCAGCACACACGCACAGCTTCACTTGCTCCAGGGCTCCATGCAGGGGAGACAAACCTGCAGAGACAGCAACAGCTGCTCCAGGCTCCTGTGAGCAAGAGAAGATGGGGAAACCAGCACCGCTGGTCCCATTCAGTCCATTCTGGGTTGAATGTCTCAGTCACAAGCTTGGCATCCAGAGAACCTCTCAATGTCCTCAGGCTGCAGCAGGCTGGAGGCTCCGTTCAGCTCGGACAGTCACACCAGGCAAGTCACGTAGACTCTTGTGCAAGAACAGAGCTGCAACCTTTAGCAGCGGGGGTAAGGACGCAACAGAGGAATTTCCAGAAAAAGGAATTTTGGTGGGAGTTAATGAGTGAGATGACTTCTCTCTAGAATTTAGATGACATGCAAAACTGACGTTGCTTTAGCAAAGATCTGGTGCAAGCTGTGAGATTTATCACATTCGTACAAGCATATGTCCAGCAAGTCTCATGGGTATAAGGACAGCCAAAGTAGTTGTCCAGCCTTCTAGCATTAAGGTTGCAAAATCGTTTCCATTATAACCCTCTGTTTTCACACATTTATAGCTTTCTGAAAGCCCCTCTCCTGGGAATAATGTTTTCTGTGCTTAGTCTTTTTTTCTTTTTTTTTTTTTTTTTAAAGTTTAAATAAAATACCTTCAGATGGTTTTTAGTTACAAGAGAATAAAAAAAAGTATTTGTTTTTACAATGTGGAAATATGGAAGGCGCTGGTTGGTCCTGGAGGGGACTTCACCTAACACAGAGGAGTCATTTTTCCATCAAGTTAGTACAGGCGGGACAAGCACTTCAAGGGCTTAAACCTGCAGCCATGGAGGTCGGGGAAAATGTGCCATGGTGTCAATGATCCCAGATGAGACGGGGACAGAACGAAGAGCTTGGATACCCTGGTTCCCACAGTCAGTACTGTAGTCGCTGAGCTGGACAACATGGAACCAGCGGAGTGACAGGAAAAAAAGCCCAAAGCAAAAGGAACTTAAACTTTGTTTTGATGGTTACAACAGGGAGGAAGAACGTACTTGCAGAAACAGTTAATTTTTTGTGTTGAATGAAAAAAAAACAAAACCAAAACCCAAAAAAACAACCCCTGCCCCCCTATTCCTTTGAACCCTCAGGGACTGCATTTACCACCTTCATCCTCTTGTCTGTATCTGGGGAAAGGTGGCCGCAGCTCAAGAGCAGCTGTCCTCGGCAATGAGAGTAACCAAGTAACAAGAGGCCACTTCTCCAGCAATCATTTCAAGTGCGCCACAAGCACGACATCAGAAAGCAAGTCTTAAAAACACAGACATGGGTTATCCTACCACTCTGAAGGACTCATCAAACCCCAACAGGCAGGCCCACAGGAGAGTCATTTAGAGCCTCTGAACCACGCAGCCGTACAACACTTTATTCCCTCAGACCATGCTCTCTTTGACCTTCCCCACCGAAGAGCAGCATGGCAAAATCATGAAGAGCTCACAGAGAGACTACAGGATTTTGAGCATCAGCTACATGAGTGCTTTTTATTTTGTGGTCACCAAGTGAGACGTTAGTTAGTCGTAAATACAACTATCTTAGTTAGCAGATCATAGCTAGAGTTACTTATGAATCCAAACTGATGTATTTACATGCTACTGCAATGACAAAAAACGATTCCCCTTGTCCTTAACTCGAGGCTGGCATGACACGCTGCCTTGCAGCCGCACTGTGAAGCTGCAATCCCAACCCCTGGTGCAATGGAAACCTGCTTCCCAGGGAGACTCTTGGAGCACCAGGGAACCTTTGCACTTTACCTCTGTACAGAAGGGCGTAAGCTGGGGATGCACCACAGGCTGAACATACATGTGAAAGGTGGATTCGATCTCCATCGTCCTGCCATTCAGCTTCAGGATAGGGAATTCGATGATTTCCTGAAGAGGGCAAAAAGAAAAGCAGCTGTTCATTTAAAACAAACAGAAATGAAGCTGGACATGATCCCACGTAGCAAGCTGGCTGTAAAAAGAGGGGCCTGACAGTCCCAGACAAAACCAAGCCCAATACAAAGCTCTGCAATACAAGCGGAAAGTGGTGCCGAAGCACAGACTACATCCAACGCCGTGAGCACAGATGAGGACGGTGCCAACGCTCATCGCAGCTGGGATGGGCAGCAAGGAGGTCTCTGTGCTCAGCGCTGCAACTGCACACATCATTGCCTGAGCTGAACCTAAGGAAGACGGTCTAGCACCACTCGCACGCACTACCCAGGGAACATGGAGGTACACTTGCAATGGGCTCACATCTGTTTAGCAAGGACCTCCCAGGGGCTGCACCCTCCCCAAAACCAGTCCCATCCTCTCCACCTTGCCATCCTTTTGGAGGACAGACAACAGGAGCTACTGCATGAGGCACCTCCTTCCCAGGAGAGGCTGAGGAGCACTGCTGTCCTCCAGCAGAGTAAGGAGAGGAGCTGGAAGCACCCCCCCTCCCGGCTCCATCCCTACGGGATAGAGCACAGCAGCAAGCCCTGCTTCATTTTGCTCTTTGTAGCCAATTTATGCTGATAGGGAAATAAAAACATTCCTTCATCAGAAGAATGTTCAGTTATTTGAATAATCAGCAATCAAAAATTTACATGGACCTGTTAATAAAAAGTTTAAACAAATCCAGTTGCGATGGATTTCTCAATTATTAAAAAATATATATGAAATTAAAAAAGCCAACCACTGAATAAAAGCGATAAAATCCTTTGTGTTCACCCCCCTCCTTCTCCACTCCCTTTCCTCCTTCCAGTTTAATGTAAGAGGAGAAGTGACAATTTGTTTGGTGTCTTTAAAGAATAATTTGTCTATGTTATTTAATAGAGATGCATGGCACCAAGGTTCTCGAGTGCAAATGAGCCTGCTGAGTGATATCCATGCAACAAGCCTCTCAAATCACTTCTGGAGAGAAACAGAGAGAGGGAGAGAGAATAAAAAAAATATTGCTTTTTAATATTCAAAAACAGTTTGCAAAATTTAATCAAAGCAGAGCAAAAGCTAACATTTTTACCACTTTGACATTTTTATTAGCGCTTTCATAAATTTTTAAAACATGAATGGAATTAGTTTAACAACAAAAAAAACTGCCTGAAAACATCTGGAAGAGACAAATAAGAAATAATAAAAAAATAAAAAAAAAATCCAACTCCTGTGAGTAAAATTAGCATGTGGAAAATGCAGCCGCTGCAGAGGAACTAACACAGTTTTTGGACCCTGGCTGCAACCCTTATGACCTGCAGGCGGAAATTATCATGAGGTCATACATATGAGCTGATGACATCACCACCCCGGCAGGCAGAGGGAGGGCAAGTAGCTGGGTGGGTAAATGGAAAGAACAAATTCTTAAATAGACAGGAGAAACACCCAATTTCCACAGTAGACAGAGCCTGTGGCCACAGCAGAGCAGCGCCCTGGGGCAGCAGGCACACAGCCCAGACCAGGGCACGTGGGGAGCACGTGCCGCTGAGACGGAAAGTTAGGAAAAAAAAAATTAAAATAAAGTGTTAACAGTGCTGAAGTGCCCAGGTGTAGACACCGAGCAGTCAAGCTGCAGAGGATGCAGGTCGTAACCATATCGCCACAGTCGGCTGTGCCACACTCTGCGTGTGCTGTGCCGGCTAAGGCAGAGCAGAGCGTTGGGCACATCCTTCCCCATGGCCATACCATCCCACCGGGAGCCACCACGTTTCCCCACGAAAGAGACAAAACTCAGCCCGTGGGCTGGAAGGGGAGGAAGGCACAGAGGCAAAACACCTGAGCATCGCCCAGATTGCCTGTCATGGCACAGCCAAACTCACCAGCTTCAGCCACCCAGGAGGACCCGTGGAAACACGAGAAACTCAATCTGAGTAAGAAACACTGGACACAGTTGATCCTCCTTTCAAAAGAGCTACCACAGATAGGCTCTGAAAGCAGCAAATTTCTGTTCGGAAGGAAAACAGACCACAGAGTTTGAAGCCAATGGACAGGACGTCATAAAAGAGCCAAGCTTAAGCCCAGGATAACACCACCCCATCCTTCAAACCTGGCTGGGGCGGCTCGTTGCCCCTTAGGACTGCATCCCACCCAGGGGGTGACCACGGAAGCGGGCAAGCCCACGGCAGGGTAAGACGAGCGTTCCCCCTCCTGGAGAGGGACACGCACCAGCTGGATTTCACAGCAGGGCTGCGTTGCAATGCCGAGATCGGTCCTAAGGGACCAGAAACATCCTCAGGGGCCATCAAGTGGCTGGATGCAAAGCGAGACTGAAAGACAGCCCTGCCGCTGATCTGATACACAAAGGCGTCGCTTGCCTTCCAGAACCAAAGGCAAAAAGCACTTCCAGGAGGGTGGGATTAAGACAGACAGAAGAAATAAAAAGCTGTGCTAAAAAAATGTGGAAAATTTAACAACATCCAGAATTACTGCAGGTCTGTGGGAAGCGTGCGGCCAGGAGCGGGGGTGGAACCCCAGGAGGGACTTGAGCATCTTGGGAGAAAGCGCAGCCGCTCTTTCGGGCTTATTTGGTCAGTTTTTGAAGCCAGTGGTAAAGGATCTTTCCCAAAAGGCTGTTTATCTGCACGCTTCCTATAGTGGAGATTTTTCCAGTCTCTGGCAGTGTTTGCTCCACTGGTATCTAAGGCAACAGATACCAGCCCCATGAAATCAGCCCCACTCCTCACTAACGACGTTAGCCAGTCCTGCAATGAAATTTAACCTGTGACACTGCTGTACTTTTCATTTAAACTTTCATTTGGAGAGAAGCAGTGTTTGGAGACCCTGCAGTTTGTCCTGCTAATAAAGACAAGTGTTGGGACCTTTAAAGGTGCCATTCATCTTTTGCCTTTATTAAATTCAATTTTCTTAAGCCCATGATACATCATGAAATTAAGAGTTGACATTCCTGCAGAAACAAAAATATCTATCAAACATAAACAGAAAGGGGGGAAAAGAAAAAAAAAAAAGAGGCCGCTATTACCAGGAATTTATGGCTTAAAGTTGATCTGTTTCCACTTTTTTTTCCTCTCCCCCCCTTTTTTTTTTTACAAGCATATGGTTTGTTTTAGATATCCAGAAATGTTATTACAGATCTAGAATTTCATTAGTAATTATTATGAAATGGTGAGCACTTACACACACACACACAACCCCCCAACAGACCGTGATGAAGGAAGGCAGCCGGGCGCTCTCTCACGTTTCACAGCAGCCCGGTGAGCTCAACACACTCAGCTCCATCTCCACCATCAAGGACCTTCACTGCTTCTTCCCCGGTGGGAAAGGTGGAGGAGAACAGCACAAGGGAATTAAAAGGAGAGGTTCACCGACACTTCCTTTCTTTTATCAGTCTGATCATCCATAAGCAATACCTTGAGATCCTCACCCATTTCCACCTTCGACACTGAGTACATGTTCCAACTTTGGCAGTGATTTGTGCCAGCAGTATTTGGGGCTTCTAAGTCTTTTTTTTTTTTGTCCCCCACAGCTTTTCCTTATAGAACAACAAGAAGTTATGGATGTGCTGAAATAATGCTGAGGGTGTCCAGAGGCTGCAAATAGCCGCAAGCTACCAGAAGAACAAATGTACCCATTTGAATTTTGCGAGCACTGCAATTAGGTATTTTATTTAGCACTGCAAAGTAACTTGAAAGGAAATCCAGGATTCAAACCACCAGCAATAAATAAGCAGCTTTTTATTTTCCTTTCATTGTCATCAAAAGTTGAACATGTTTTCTGTTGAGAAATTCTGCACGCGGCTCCCAATTACAGGCATTTGCATTTATATTGTTGGAACACAGAGCTTCTAAAATCAATATTAACACGCTTAAAGAAAAAGACATCGGCACCCTGTCCCTCCCCTCAGCTGCGCCCCCCAACACGGTAACAATAGGAACCTACAGAGCCGGAGGCTTATACATATCCATTACCAGGTCCATTCTCTTTACAACGATCTTGCATTTATGATTTCATGGTACTTCAAGCAAATCTATGTGACAGCTTGCTCACAATTTTTGCCTTTAAAAAAAAAAAAAAAATTCCCAAAAACCAGGTCCCAGGTGGAAGCCTCCCATGCAACCTGGCTGTCCCAGGCCAGTGGGCTGAGCAGCAGCAGGCTTCAGGGTAACTGTGGAATGACTAGGGACTTCATTTAAGAGGGATTTGAAAAATTCATAAGGGCACGTGAAAGCACTGCTATAAACGCAGCCTCTCCTTACCCAACCGTCCTAAATGAAACTCCCCTCCCTTTAACACCGGAGCAGGGATGCACAAATTCAGCTGTCTTGATCTTCCTGCTAATAAAAGAAACGAACAAGCACACAACTATCCTCGCTAAATAATTTCCCGTCATGGACAGATCTCTGGAGTTCAGAGAAGAAAGCACCTGAAGTTACACTAATTCCCACAGAGGAATCTTTTCGCTTATTCTTTTGGATCTGGGGAGCACTAACATCATTAGAGGAAAAGAATACAGTGCCCAGCAAGAATTTCCCAGCTCTCACAACCTTTTAATCCAGAAGCCTACATACCAAGTGGACAGGGCACACTTCAGGATACCGAGTTAAATATTTGAGTAAGACCGTGTGGCCTATTCAGTTCAACAACTACCAGAGAATAATTTATCCCTTACTCCCACCCCCATGTGAAGAAGTTTAATAAACACAAGAATAAAAGATGCCCATAAAAATCAGAGCTGACTGTTCAAAATGCAATAAAAACAAGCAGAGGCCGTTGAGAGAAAGGGATTTTTTCTGATAAGGAAAAGCATAAAACTTCCTACCAAAAGACCCCTTTACACCTTCAAAAAAGGTAAGAGCAGAAGAGGCAAGGGAGTCTCTGTGGAGGGACACAGCACCAGCTCATTTTGTTCAGGGATGCTTTTTTCCCCCCTCTTTAAAGAAAAAAAAGTCATTTTATGC